TTGTGCAGGAAAGGAGACAGCTGCTAGACTGGAACTGCCTACTTCCTGTAGATTACAACGTCCTCAGTGTACGCAGCGGATGGACATGCTTGTGGATGAATGTGACCGAGGGGGAAGGATACTCCCTCTACCCCCAACCCAACTTCCCAAAGAGCAGACGATAAAGGGTAGACATTTCCCAATGCACTGAGGCCTAGGGAATCTTCTGAAGCAAAAAATCTTATGGATCCTGCTTGGCTACTGACTCAATGTGGGGCCTTGGACAAGTTGCTTCTCTCCTTCCGGACCTTCAGTCTAAAATAAAATGATTTGGGCACTAGGGAAACAGCCGATACCTATTGCTATTTTTCTTTGCTTTCATTGTTTTATAAAATAGCTTTGCATTTACTGAGATATAATTAACATGCCTACAACTCATCCATTTAAAGTGTAGTAGAATTTACATGTTTTTTTTTTTTTTAGTATAGAGTTGTACAACTATCACCATAATCTAATTTCAGAATGTTTTCTTTGTCCCTAGAAGAAAGCATATACTCATTGGCATTAAATTCCCATTTCCCTCCTGTCTCTTCCCCGGCCCTAAACAACCCCTTATCTACTGTCTATCTCTGTAAATAGTCTTATTCCGGACATTTATCATAAATGAATTCTTATAGTATGTGGCTTTTTGTGGCTGACTTCTTTCACTTGTATAATATTTTCAAAGAGTCAAACATGTATAGCATGTATGAGTGCTTTTTATGGCTGCATAGTATTCCTCCATATGGGTATACCACACATTACTGATAAGTTAATGGATATTTGGGTTATATCTGCTTTTTAACTGTTTGTATTAAGATACAAATCCTTTATCACATATATGATTTGCAAATATTTTTTCCCATTGTGAGGGTTGCCTTTTTACTTTCTGGATGGTATCACTAGCAGCATAAAAATTTTTTATTTTGATATAGTCATTTTATATGTTTCTCTTTTTATATATATACACAAAAGAGAAACACATAAATTATATATATGCAATATATATATAGTTTATGGTATATATATATATATATATATATATATATATATCAAATATATGTTTCTCTTTTGTTACCTACCTTTTGGTATTATATCTATGAAACTGTTGCCTAACGCTTGATCATGAAAACTTACTCCTTAGGTTTTCTTATGAGATTTTTATAGCATGTTTATGATCCATATGTTGGTTTTTACTTCAGAGTTGCTGTGAACACTAAGTACCCTTGAAAAAAAGCTAAAAAATGGTCCAACTCCTAGTAGGTCCAAATAATGAGAAAGTTGCCAATTGAAGTAAGAGCTGAATATTTACTCAGCTCTTTCAAGCAGTTGTAGCATGATGCCATGCTCCCACCCGTGTCTCTGTCACTTACACCTCTGCTATGACACATCTGAAGTTTAATTTTGTTTGCTCCCATTGCTGCTGCTTTAAGAAACAATTTCCATATGAAAACCTGAATCTGATAGTGGATGGGTGTTGAATAAAGCATGCCCTGTTGCTTTTGCATTATTATATTCTTCTGATTTTTTTGCTCTTTAGTCTATTTATTACCCAAATACTAGTCTGTTACCATCCTGTAAAAATTTTTTTCAGTTTCTCCTTTTTCACATGGTTGTAAAATGTGCCTTTTACCAATATCTTTAGTTTCTCATTTTTATTATTATGTTCTGGAAGATCTTTTAAAAAGCTTTCATTCTTTTGATAGGGCTTTTAAAAAATTATAATATTGTTACATATAATTATTCTGCAGTATTTTAGCCCTTAATATATTATGAACATTTAATACACATTGAACAACAAAAGATTTATACTTAACCTTTCAGATGAGTACCAACTGGATTAGATTTCCTAATTAGCCATTGATCTGACCTCACTGGTGCTTACAAGTTTAGGTAGTGACTCTCCCTTCTTCCCAGTAACATGTAAACCTCTAGCGTTAACCTGAACACACTAATAATAAACTTAACTATCAAACACCTTTAGTAAAGGAGACTCCTGTCCAAGATGGAGGTGTAGGTAGACACACTGTGCCTCCTTGTACAACCAAAATAAGGACAACAACAATTTAGAAACAAAAAACAATCAGTACTGACAGAAACTTGAACTGTATGGAAGTACGATAACCAAGAAGTTAAAGTAGACATATTCATCCAGACCAGTAGGAGGGGCGGAGTTGAGTGGCTGAGTAGAGAGGGGTTGCGCATGGCAAAGTGGTAGTGGGCGGACCCAGTGAGGCAGCAGGTTGTGAAAGGGCGAGGCATACAAGGTAGCTGATGGACTGAGTGGTCCCACATTTGCATGCAGATAAACCAGGCAAAACTGGGGAATGAGGTAAACCACACAACCCAGGGTCCCATTGTGGGGAAATATAGCCTCAAAACACTGGTTGAAAACACCCATGTGGGTTGAGGTGCCAGGAGAGACTCCCAGCCTCCCAGGAGAGTTTGTTGGAGAGACCCACAGGGTCCTAAAACCAGAAGGGCACCAGAAGGGCCCATTTTGCATGGGGGAAGTGGGGGAAGTGACTGAAATCTGGCAGAGAGCAGAGCAAGCGCCATTGTTCCCTCTCAGATCCATCCCCCACAAACAGTGTCACAATGCAGTGACTGGGTTGCTCTGCCCTGGTAAACACCTAAGGCTCTGCCCCTCACTACATAGCAGGCATGTCAAGACAAAAAAATGGCCCAAATGAAAGAACAAATCAAAGCTTCAGAACAAATACAACTAAGCAATGAAGAGGTAGCCAACCTTTAAGAAGCACAGTTCAAAACACTGGTAATCAGGGTACTCATAGAATTGGTTGAATTTGATCACAAATTAGATGAAAAAAAGAAGGCTACACTCAGTGAAATAAAGGAAAATGTACAGGGAGCCAATAGTGATGGGAAGGAAACTGGGACTCAAATCAATGGAGTGGACCAGAAGGAAGAAAGAAACATCCAATCAGAAGAGAATGAAGAAAAAATAATTCAAAAGAATGAGGAGAAGCTTAGGAACCTGCAGGACATCTCTGAACGTTCCAACATCTGAATTATAGGGGTACCAGAAAAAGAGGAGGAAGAGCAACAAGTGGAAAAGTTATCTGAACAAATAATAAATGAGAATGTACCCATTCTGGCAAAGGAAATAGACTTCCGGGGAGTCCGGGAAGCTCAGAGAGTCCCAAAGAAGTTGGACCCAAGGAGGAACACACCAAGGCACATCGTAATTGCATTACCGAAGATTAAAATGAAGGAGAGAATCTTAAAAGCAAGCAAGAGAAAAGGAGACAGTTACCTACAAAGGAGTTCCCATAGGCTGTCAGCTGATTTTCCAAAAGAGACCTAACAGGCAAGAAGGGGCTGGAAGGAAGTATTCCAAGTAATGAAAAGTGAGGACCTACAACCAAGATTGCTCTATCCAGCAAAGCTATCATTTAGAAGAGCAGATAAAGCGCTTCCCAGATAAGGTCAAGTTAAAGGAGTTCATCATCGCCAAGCCCTTATTACATGAAAAGTTAAAGGGACTTATCTAAGAAAAAGAAGATAAAAAACATGTCCAGTAAAATGTCAGCAAACTCACAATTATTAACAACCACACCTAAAACAAAAACCAAAACAAACTAAAGAAACAACCAGAATAGGAACAGAACCACAGAAATGGAGATGACATGGAGGGTTAGCAACAGGGGAGTGGGAGGACGAGAGAGGGGGAAAAGGTACAGAGAATAAGTAGCATAGATGATAGCTAGAAAATAGACAGGGGGAGGGTAAGAATAGTATGGGAAACGTAGAAGCTAGAGAACTTATGACACATGGACATGAACTAAAGGGGGGAAATGTGAGTGGGAGGGGGTGTGCAGGGTGGAGGAGGGAGGGAAATGGTGGAGGGAAATGGGAGAAAATAGACAGGGTGGAGGAGGGAGGGAGTGAAGGGAGGGAAATATGACAACCGTAATCATAATCAGTAAAATGTATTTTAAAAAATAAAATTAAAATAAAAAAAGACATTTAGTAATAGTTGGGCCCCCTGGTATTAGTGATATCTTACAAAATGTTGATCTTTATATTTCTTTTTAGGGTTGGTCATGCATATTATTAAGGGAGCCCTTGGCTTGTCCTCCTCACCTTTAGGGAAGCAATTATCTCTATTGTACTTAAAAAAAAAAACTGTATCCCATATAGTGGCTGTCTTCCTGCCCCCTAGGAAATAATCTGCTGGAATTCAAAATACAATTACCACGCTTGACCACTTCCTGTATCCTGGAGCTGACCATTATTAATGGCATCCAATTATTCATAGCAATCAAGTAGCCGACCTTGCTAAACTGATCGCAGCAGTGGGTATTTGACAGTCAGGCTGCCGGCTGGGTCCATAATAGGAGGAGACAATGTCATATCCTGGTCGTCTGGAGTGAAAACAGCATGTCACTGCAGACTTACCAGAATTCTATAGTAACTTGATTGTGAGATTTAGCATGTCATTATTTTAAAAGCATTTGTTTAGATATTCAGGCAGGAGCAGGAAAACAGTGGGTTTAGATTAGCCTGGCATTTGAGAATCTCTTTGACTTACCTTACACCACTGCTAATTAATTAAGCAGTGTGAGCTTTGGTAAGTCATTAGGTTTTCCGAGCCTCAGTTTCCTCCACCCTGAAATGAAGGCATTTCGCCTGCTTTCAAGGGTGGTTGTGTGGATTAAATGACATGCAAACTATGAAACCACAGGGCAGGCGGAAGTCGCCTGACCTTGTCGGTGTGCGGTCCTCAGAGTCCTTCTGAGCTCAGGCTGCAGCAGAGGGAAAAGCGGAACACAAAGGCCTTTTCATTCCTCACTAAAGCGCACAGTAGGGTTTGAGTCTCACGTGAGTGCTGCTTTTCTTTTCTTCTTTTTCACTTCTCAAGCATTTTATTAATCAGACAGCCATCAGCTCTCTAAGCCCAGAGAATAATTGTTGCCAAGAGCTTTCTGGAAACTGGGGGCCTGCTCCCTGCGCCCCTTTCAGGAATGTGGGTCTGTAGGGCATCCATTGAGTGCCTTCTGCTTGAAGTACACGTGACAGGCAGATGCAATCGCAGCCACAAACAGTATGAACTCGTTGATGTCCACCATAGTGTCACCACTGGCATCCAGGTCCTTGAGCAGTTTGTCCACAGCCTCCTTGTTCCTTCCATTCTCCAGGAAGCCTGGGAGCTCCTTCTCCAACTGTGCTTTCAGCTCCTCCTTGCTCAGGCCCTCCTTGTTGCTATCCATACCCTTGAACAAGGCAGAGACCTCGATGACCATGACCATGGTCATCTCCAGTTGTGACATGGTGCTGGATGCAGGCCCACGTCCCTCCAGGTGGCTGGCGTGGCTGAGGAAACAGCTCGCTTTTTCATTCTGCCTTTTCTACAGGACTACGAGTCAAAGGTTGTCTTTGATTGTGAAGCGGTATTAAAGTGTGATACTTGTTTGCAGTGAAGGGGCCTAAGCATAAAAACTGACATAAATTTGCAGGTGGCTGTCCTCTGACCCTCTGGGGCCTTGGCTGCATTTTCCCTGTGAGCTGGCCTGACAGGTAACAGTCCCTGTCCAGCTGCAGCAAGGAGCACGTTGTTTGCCTTTGCAAATACAATAATTCTGTCATGTTATGAGGAGGGTGATTTTCACAAGGAACTAACTTTGAGTTTTGGGTCAAGCAATTTGAAAGATCGTGAAGGAATTCACAGTTTACATTCACTTGAGGTTCACGGCATGTCTAATTCAAAGTGATCATACAAGAATTTCCTCACCCTTCAACTACCTTGTCACCATGTGAAATGCCTAGTGTTTTTTATCCCAATTCAAAAAAGGAGTCCACACATTTATAGGATTATTAGAGCAAGATAAAATATTCACTTTACAATTTCTTAAGTACACCACTAACCAGTGGTGGATAAGCAGTGAATTAATTTGTCATGAACATTATGAAGCATTAAGCAAAATTTACAAAGAGGAACAGGAGCTAAATTTGAGAGGTGACTAATAGTATTAAATCAGCCCCCAGCAAAATTGGGAGTTTTCTGGTAAAAACAGGGCTAGTGAAAGAGCCTCTCTTTCAGCAGGTAGACCATATGGATGGAAACAGGTGAAGAGAAAGAGGAGGATTTTCTGGTGGCTTGGGACTCTGGTATGTTCAACCTATAGGTCGAACAGCTCAGAATGTTGCTCTGTCTTTGCAGACAGTAAAATTCTACAGTGGTTAAGGGCACAGTCTTAAAACCTAACAGACTGAGTTTCAGTTGCTCAGCTTTCCACTTTATTATTGGAATTTTCTTATCTGAGAAATACCATGAACCGTCAAGGCTCTCAGAGGGCTTTGATAAAATCATCAATGCAATAGCATCCTGATATAAGTGTAGCGGGTTAACTAGTAGCCTGCAAAAGATATGTCCATGTCTAAATCCCTGAAATTTGTGCCTGTGACCTCATTTGTAAAATGGGTCTTTGCAGATATGAGTAAATTAATGATCTTGAGATGAGCTTATCCTGGATTCACCTGCTAGGCACTCAGTCGGATGATGAGTGTTTTTAGGGGACAGAAAAGGGAAAGACCCAGACACACAGGAGAGGAGGGCAGGTGAAGATGGAAATAGGGGCTGAAGTGATGGAGTCTCAAGCAGAGCAATGCCAGCAGCCTCCAGAACCCAGAAGAGACAAGGAAAAAACCTCCCCAGAGGTTCCAGAAAGGAGTGTGGCCCTATTAATATGCCTTGATGTCAGACTCCTGGCCTCCAGAACTGTGAGAGGCAACACTTCTGTTCTTTTAATCCAGTCATTTTGTGGTAATTTGTTACAGGAGCCACAGGAGGTAAAGAACTGAGCACAGTGACTGGTAGCTGGTCAATATTCCATAAATTGTAGTCTTAGTTTTCAAATAAAGTACATCTTTTTTTGGTGGGGGTTAGCATGCTTTCAGGAAATCCTTACTTAAACCTTTCCTCTTTAGCTCATGTAGCCTTGACTTGCTTGCTCATTCATTCATTTGCTTATTTGGTATTAATTAAGCAACTCCCGTATGTTCATACACATATAGTGCTAAGTGTACTAAATCCTTTAAAAAGAGCACTCTACGATAGTCAACAGAGTATGTATTAACCTCAGCCTTACTGAGTTCACTCTCTAATGGGAGAGACAGACAAATGGAAAATAAGTCCTCAGTGCAGTTGATGATGTGAAGAAATCTGGATGGGCTTGAGGATAGAGAAGAGAGAGGATTCAATAGGGTAATCAGGGTGGCGGGCTCCCTGATTACAGGGAAGGAAAGAAGGAGAAAAGTGGAAAAACTATTTTTTAGCAAGTGGCTGAGTCTGAAGAACTGTGGCAGAAGTTTTAGAAAGAAAAATAGAGGTATTTTTGTGGAGGACTTCTGTACTAATGCAAAGCCTTGACTTTGATATTTGACTTTGATTTAGGCATGAGAAGCAGAAGGCATTTTGCATTTGCTGGGTGAGATGTTGTTGCTCTGCCTATGAGGCAACAAGGCAATTTCTTAGATGTTTCAGAGGTCAGCAAACTTTTTCTCTAAAGGGCTAGGTAGTAAATATAGCTTGTGGGCTTTGTGGTTTTTGTGGCAACATTTTTTGACTTTGTTATGACATGAAAGCAGCCATAGGCAATGTGTAAACAGGTGAGTCTTGTGTGTTCCACACTTCATTTACTAATGGACACTGAAGTTTAAATTTCACCTCATCTTCACACCTGGAAATAGTTTTCTTCTTTTTCTTTCTGGCAACTACTTAAAAATGGAATAACCATTCTTAGCTTGAGAGCTGTACCAGAAGAGGCAGTGGGATGTATACAGCCCACAGGTCATCTTACTGACCCCTGTTTAGAGTCCAACCTCTGTTTTTACAAGGAAGGGAAGAATCTTCTGTATCTAAAAACTCTGCTACAAGCAGCAGCCAGCAGGTAGGAGAGGAGAGTGTTTTAGGGAGGAGAAGACCCCTCAGGGAAGCAGTGGGATATCATTGCAGAATGCTCAGTTCTTGCTGGCCTGATAAACATGGGCTTGGGCTTGAATTAAAAATGATTTTGTTTTGCATCAGGAATCAACATTTAATGATGATGTTTTTCCTTGATGTTTCAGCTATAAAACTACCAATTATGCATGAAATTGATGTATATTATTCCATAATGAACTAGTCTGATAGAAAAACACATTAGGCATTTATATTGAAAACAAGTAATTGATGTTAAGACATTTCAACAAGTAGAACTATGTTCCTGAAAACATGAATTACTGGAAATTGAGGCCACTCAGTTACAACCAGGGAGATGTAGCAGTGTGTGCCTCTTGTCCAGCTGGTATTGCCCAGTTGCCTTAATAAACAGTGCATTCCTATACCACCGCATTTACAACCTCTGCCACTTTTTGGCTCAGCTTTAAGACTAACTTCCTGCTTTCCCAGGCTGTCAATTTGTGGATGAAAGTGAAGATTTACATTTATAAAAACTATACATATGAGTCTATCCAGAAAAAGCCCAACCATTGTTAATATAGCAAGAATGGCTTGTGCCACATTGATGTAACCTAGCAGCCAAGGAGAGCGGACTGGAATGTGCATGTGTGAACAATGATGACTTCACTGTACTAGTCAGTGGGGACGGTAGATACTGTTGAGTGGACATGTGTACTCTGTGGCCTTGCAATTCAAAATGACTGAGCCAATACAGCAATAAATCTGCATCAAACTTTGTGTTAAGCTTGAACATTCCTCCATGAAAACTATTTGGATGATTCAGGAGGCCACAGCTGTGGGCAACTGGTGATTGGCAGCTTCATCACGACAACACGCCCACTCATGTATCATGTGTTGTGCAGTTTTTTGGCAAAACATGGAATCACCCAGGTGACTCAGCCCCACTGTAGCCCATATTTGATGCCCTATGACTTTTGGCTTTTCCCAAAACTAAAATCACCTTTCAAAAGAAAGAGACATTACACTGTCAGTGAGATTCAGGAAAATATGACGGGGCAGCTGATGGTGACTGGGAGAACTGTGGGAGGTCCCAAAGTTCCTACTTTGAAGGGGACTGAGGCATCACTGTCCCATGTACAATGTTTCTTATATCTTGTATCTTCAACAAATGCCTCTATGTTTCATATTACATGGCAGGATACTTCCAGACAGATCTTGTACTTGAAAGCTCAATGAGTGTATTTACATCCCAGGGGTGAGACTTACTAATTCTATTCTTTATGGTCCCAGCTAACCTATTTTGTCTTATTTTGCTTGCTGAGGTGTGGATGCTTTGGGTGGGTTGTTGGGACTCACTGTTGTGTGACCTTAGATCTGGTTTCCGGCCTGTCATTCTAGGTTCCGTCCTGAAGAAACTAATTTCTAATCTGATCTCTAGTTCAATGCAAATTATGGTACTTAATCTGCACAATTTACTCTCCTGACCTGTTTTTTTTACTGTGTGCTCTGTAGTGATTGCTAAACTTGTCTCTTATCTGTTCTGTTAGGACTTGAGGGCCCTGATTCAGCCTTTCTTAACTCATGGCTTCCAAATCATTTCTTATCCTCTCCTTGCCAATGTCTTGATTCCATCACCACTCCAGCTTGTGTTCTGGTTTTCTGGACTCCTTAACACCCACCTATCCATGCCTGGATCATCGACACCTCTGACTTTGATCCTGGACATCCAAGACTTGCTTAATTATTTCCTATCTCAATCCGAAACTGGATGTCGACATGAGAGGCCTTTCCCATTAACACAGACATGAAATGAAACCAAACCAAGCCATAGGTACTGAAAGCACCATTACATGACTGGCTTAGTGAAAAAAACATCAGGCTGTGTGCCTACACAGTCTCTTATGTATTCATGTCAAGGCCGACTAGGTTTATGCTGATAGATTTCTCTATCTCAGACAGAAATGCTTTTTTGTAGAGCTGTATGCATGGCAGGAAAAAGAACTATGAGTTATATCCATAAATCCTATTTAAATTAGGAAGGAATTTGGCTTACCAGTATCCCTTTTCCTTTGAGATGACGGATATAATTTCTTCGAAATAGTTCAATTATTTGAAAGAATAATTTTGAGGCATTTATAATTAATTAATTAATTAATTAATTAATAACATGAACACAATGCCTGCAACTGGTTTTCAGAACACTTGAGTTTTGGTCATTTATCTTTTGATGTATTGTTTAAAAACATTTTTCTTGCTATGAGGCTTTCTTTTGTAGGTTATGAGATATTACTTGACTTATAAAATAACCTGGCAGAGAAAACTAATTTTTAAAATCCAATTAATAACATCATTTTTAGATAGATTTTGTGA